AGAGAACTAAGAAATGAGATGTATAGTGCGGATAATTTATTTCCATTCATAAACATTGAAAGTGTGCATTATCATACCTCTCCTCCAAGAAAATCGTTGTCCAAAGGAATTTCCAAGCTCATCAAGTCATCGTCTGTGAGCTATATATATTAGAAACAGAAAACAGAGAAAAATGAGATGCAAAGCTTCAAGAATTGCTGATATTATTATTATTATTATTATTATTATTTTTGGAAAGCAATTGCTGATAATATTATTTCCATCCATATCAACCGGAAACCGTAGTAATCCAATCTTCATGCAAAGCAAAACATAAGATGTGCCTAGTATATATTTCCTCCCCGCACCAAGATCTACTTAGTAATTAACAAACCATAAAGCAGCTGATATATAGCATTCCATTATCATACCTCTTTTTGAAGAAACTTTTCAGGAAGACTTTCCATTTTCTTGAAGTCATTCTTCACGACCTAACATGTTAGAAATAGAAAACAGAGAAAAATGAGATGCAACGCTTCAAGAATTGCAGAATATTTATTTCCATCCATATCAACAGGTACAGAAAGATCTGCTTAGAAATTAACAAACTAAATATAAAGCAGCTGATAGTATATATTCCATTTATTATTTTGAAGAATCAACCTACTGTCTATAAGACCAGTTATTTCAAAAATCTAGAGAAATAACTCACTTTTCTACCATCCATAAATAGAAAAGAAAAGACACCAAAAGAGAGAGATGCTACCTCAATGTCTCCCTTCACATTCCCTATTTGCTTTAGCATTTCTTCCTCTAGAACCTTCAATTGAGTTTTCATTTCCCCAATTTCTCTCAGCGTATCCTACATTTCCAGAAGCATAAAAAAAAGGGGGAAATTAAAATAATCATGATTAAGAAGATGAAAATGGAGAGATGATGAATGTATAATAATTTGTTTACCTCTTTTTTATGATAAAACATTGTAGATAATTTATGTCCATATATAATTATAAACAATTAAAGATGTGCATCAAATAAGACTTATCGTTCTCCATCAAAAAAGTAGTCAGCTAAATCCAAGTCCATCAAGATATTCTTTTGCAATGCCAGAAACAGAGAACCAGGAAATGAGATGTATAGTGCAGATAATTTATTTCCATTCATAAACATTGAAAGTGTGCATTATCATACCTCTCCTCCAAGATAAACGTTGTCCAAAGGAATTTCCAAGCTCATCAAGTCATTCTCCTCAAGCTATATATGTTGGAAACAGAAAACAGAGAAAAATGAGATGCAGAGCTTCAAGAATTGCTAATAAATTTATTTCCATATATTCATATCAACAGGTACTGTAATCTTATCTTCACGCAAAGAAAAACACAAGATGTGCCTAGTACATATTTCCTCTCCGCAGCAAGATCTTACTTACTAATTAACAAACTATAAAGCAGCTGATAGCATTCCATTATCATACCTCTCCCCGAAGAAACTTCTCAATACGATTATCCATGTTCATCAAGCGGTCCTTCACGAGCTATACATGTTAGAAAGAAAACAAAGAAAAATGAGAAGCAAAGCTTCAAGAATTACTGAAAATTTATTTCCATATATTCATATCAAGAGGTACTGTAATCTTTTCTTCACGGAAAGAAAAACACAAGATGTGCCTAGTATATGTTTGAATATTTCCTCTTTCTTTTTTTTCCCCGCAGATAGATCTACTTAGTAATTGACAAACTATAAGGATGATTATTTCAAAAATTTAGAGAAAGAACACACTTTCCTAAAATCCATGAATAGAAAAGAAAAGAGACCAAAAGAGAGAAATGCTACCTTAAGATTTGCATTAGTTGCCCTTACAACTCGAGCCACAGCAGCAATCCTAGATTTAAGTCTCCTGTTCTCAAATGCCAAGTTTGCATTTGTCTTCTTTAGAAATTTGATTTGTCTCAGCGTAGCCTACATTTGCAGAAACATAAAAAATAAAAATTAGGGAAACAAAAATAATCATAATTAAGAAGATAAAAATGGAGATGATGAAACTATAATAATTTGTTTACCTGTGTTTTATGATAACGCTTATTGTCACAGGCTCTTTTCCTTGCTCTTCTTTCAGCAGGCGTGAATTTAGCCTCCCGACCTCGCCTTTTTGGTTGATGGGAAGAAGCCTCAGCTTCAGTCCCTTGAACCAGCTTCACCATTTTCGGATTCTCGTTGACACCCGAAGATGTTTCCTTTACGGGCTCAGTCAGATCTTTTCAGAGATAAAGCTTAGAAAATAGCTTAGATGTGGAGCTCTATATAGGGAAAGGCGCGAATATAACCAAATACTATCATTTTATGCGAACGCTCACATTTCTCTTGGAAAAGGCAAAAACAAGTGTTAAGCTCCTCAACTTTTTCTATTTTCTCACATAAGCTTTTAAAGGAAAAAAGTGGCATATAAGCCCCTACAAACCTTAATTTTGAGTAAATTAACCCTTCGTGATATCGGTAAAATCATGTGTTGTCATTTAAGTTTAAAGTGGTTCCTCTTTTCACTTACATTTCAATTTTGTTGCATTTAAATACTGATATAACATGAGACTCAATTATTTAATTTTTAATTTTACGAATTTTAAACTATATGTTATAGCCGCTTAATTGTAAAGAAGTCATAACAACATCTAAGTGCAAAGAAATTGTCACACAAACAACAAAAAATAAAAAATAGCAAACAATTGTTTAACTTAAGTTACCACACTTGATTTTGCTATTAATACAAGGACTAATTTACTTAAATCTAGATGTTTGGGGGTTTGTACATCACTTTGTTTCTTTGAGAGCTTATGTGAAAAAATAGAAAACATCTAAGGGCTTAACATATGGGTTTTGCCTCTAGAAAATATTTTGTAACCAAAATTGATTAATTACGCACTTGCTGATGGCATGGAGGTGCATTAATCACCTTGACCTCTTTGTCAAGGGTATAGTAGCAATTTCCTAATGGGTACCTTCACCTTTTTAGGGATGAGCTAATAATGTAATTATAGTATCTTCTAATTATTAAATTACATAAAAAATAAAATTTAATTTTAATTTATTAACTAATCAATATAAAAAAATATACATATGACATTTATGCTAACGTTAATATTGACTTTTTTTTTATAAGACTTAATTTTAAAAAGTATAATAATTATATCATTTATTTATACTTTCAAGGCACATATTAGAAATAACCTTTTTTATTTCTTATAGTTTGGTGAGAGGTATGTAATGAATTCATGATTTCGAATCAAGGTTGTCAATCTCGTTCCTTATGACTAGTACAATTGGTATGTACTTGTTTGAGAGTAAAATCAATATATTATACTTTAAATATCATTTTGGATCAAATATTGATGGCACTAGTCAAATACTAGTTGTATCGGCCAAAATTTAATATATTGTTGAGTATTAAACTTTTTGGTTTCGTATATATAAACAACACATAAATAAAAGAAGTCAGAAAAAAGGAGAAAAAAAGGTCAAATGCATAATGCATCCTAAAATATAATTCTAGGTTATACCCAAAAAAGACAAGAAAATGAAGAGGGAACTTGAAAAATGTGGATTTTCTTTGAAGCCTAACAATATAGAGCATGAAAGCAAGTCTAGTTGTAGCAATTCTTAGAAATTGCATAAACCTATGAAGTA